AACAATTGAGAAAATGAAACTGACTGATCATGAATCAGAACAAAACGTGTATGGAAAGGACAGGAAAAACTGCATTAGAAGGAGGAAGGCACAACAGGTAGACGAAAAAGCCGAAGACAGAAAACATCTGAGGAAATCAGTTGAAGTTCAAGGAAATTGAAAAGAAAAGTGTATCAATTTCTCTTTTGTTGCCCTTAAGAAACAAGAGGAAGAAAAGTGCCCCAGCGTTTGAAATACAAAAATACATCAGAAAGAACGGAAATCAAATGAAGAAGAAACATGAAATCGAGAGTTTTGAAGAAAAGTAATATACGAAGCCCTCAGATGAATAAAAACGCAGGAAGGGAAAGATGTAGCAAATAAAGTTGAGCTGAAAACAAAATATTTAAACAGGGACAAAAACAAGACAATATGTTTGTTTGTTGACAATGTTAAAGGAAGACAGRAAGTAAGAACCTGGAGAASACAAAACAGGAGCAAAAAAGTCGCAAAAATTGGGAAAAATGTACAGGTAACTGTCGCTTTCAGTATGAATAGAGCGAAGTTTGCTCTATCTAACTGTGTCAAATGCACCTCTCGAGCGAATCCTCAATTTAAATGGGAATTTGTTGAAAAATTATTCGAAAGCGTGCTCAAACCTTGAAACTTGAAGGGAGCCGTAGAATCGCGGAGAAAGCAAAGGAAATTCACGTTTGCAGAGCCAATAGAGCAATGGTTTCTCTCCAAAAATGCGCCTAAACCCGCATTTCCAGCTGATCCTCAAAATAGGTGCATGATGAATTTTTGAAAAACTTATTACAAGCTTTTTAACATCTTCAAACTGAAAAAATCCCGAGAATTGGCAAGCATTTTAAGGCAATGAACGATCAATTTTGAAGTATATTCATCCTTCGAGCCTTTATTGCTTCCCTAAATTTTAAAGTTTCATAAAAAAATAAAAAATATGAAGTATTTAAAGTTGGAATTGGCAATGCAATSCAGTCTTCGGCATGAAAATTTTATCTAACAATGAAGCGAATAAAGAAAAGGTTAAGCAGCAGGAAGTAAGTAAAAATATCAACACATATTCCCAAAGTAGAAAAGCCGACAGGGGAAACTACGGCAATAGATGAAGGTGGGCTATTAAAATTTAAAAAACACTGAAGACAAAGATTAAAGATCAAACAGACCAAGAAGCCCACACGGAAACACCGGCAGTGCAAATTGAGGAAAAAGAAAAAAATAAAGGAACTGAAACAGTCACAAAAGTGAAGAGTAAAGTTGCCAAAATTCTTATAAAGCCACATGAGGACGTGCTGATGGTGAAGTTTCCGAGGAAAAAATCCCTAAAGTCACAGCAACAGACCTGAAAAGGAATCTCAGGAATTGGTGCAAAAAAAGGCCAAGAAAGCCAGAAGAAACGAAGGACAAAATCTCAATCAATCTCAAAAAATATCAAAATCAGAAAGTTTAAGCTTGGAGGAACTCGATCTGGAATATGAAGACCATGAAGAAATAAACTCTTCTCAATTTCTGTCATTTTCTGCCTCTGAATGAGGTAGTTTCTTCATCGTTTGTGGCATTTTAGGCCTCAGATTGTTCCACCTCTCTTCCGTCTCAAAAACCTTCAAGAACCTTCTTTGGGCATCTGCTTTTCAGTCCTCTGGTTTTATTGAGTTTTCCATTTCATTTTCACCAAATTTTGCAATTGTGGTAGCAGTTAGTTTCTTGTAAGGGTCGATGTAAATCCTCCATATCTGCATTTGTTGACGACGTGAAAAAGTATTAAAAAGCTTTAAGTTTCTGTAAGTTTTTGAGTTAATTTAGATTAGTAAAAAATGGCTTAGTTTAGTGCATAGTCGAGTAACGCATATCGATGTTTTGGCATTGTTTTAATGTCTGTAATTATGAAAACCTTGAGAATAGGGGGAAAATAAAAATAGCCGATGCCATTCGCATGCTAAAATGGCAACTTCGTGATGATTCGTCATCTAATTGATTGGCTGATATTTGCAGGAATTCCATTTTAATCTTTTTTGCGGATTGTGCCTACACCATATTTCCTAATTGTCTTATTCACCTTTCGGCTGTCGTTGTGAAAGTGTTTTAATCAACCTTGTGAAGAGCTGATTCCTCTCAACCTCAACTCAACCGTGAGGTTTTTTTGCTGGATTTTCGAGGATGTGCAGAAGTTCTGGAGGTGCAAAGTTAATTGCAAATAAGCTAAGAAGAGCTAATTTAGTATACAAATTTCATTAAAAGAAGTTATGAAAAATGTTAAAGAGAAATTTCGCCCATATTTCTTGAATTTATTGAAAATGAATGGGGCATTAGAACAAGCTGAAGTTTCGTATGCGTATTAGCAGTGGATTTGTCTCTAAGTGCCTAAAAGTTGCGCATTTTATCGCGTCCAGTTTAGCAGTTATGATTTTTTAAGTACAGATGTGCACCTTTTGTGTCGCATTTCTGACTTAATGAGAGTTTGAAAATTTCTAGAAAATTAACGAGTGATTGGAATCAAATGAAATTTTGCACGGTTATAGACAAAGGCGTGTTCTGTAAGTGCGCATTCGACAGCCCCCAATTTTGGAACTGAGAATTTTTTAATGGCAAACGCGCACTTTTGCCCCCCATTTTTGACTAACAAAAAGTACCACATTTTCTGGAAACTCAAAGAGCCATTAGAATCAAATGAAATTTCACACATTATTCACTTTTTGGAAATTGGAAATTGTACAAATTTTCGAAATCGAACAGGGTTTTAACATTAACATTGGAGGAAATTACTAGAAGGTTCCTGAATTGGAATTTTCCCAAATTTCCTCTACTTTCCGCACAAAATCCTGGCAAAAAATAATAGGAACTACTCAGAAGAACTTAAATCATGGAGAATTCTTAATGGTTTTAGGTTTGTAATACCAAAATGCTCTTCATCAATCTATAAGAAAACGGAAAATTATGTTGCAAATAAGCTCATTGTGGAAACGACGAAGGAACCGAAGTGAATAGTTCGCAAGGATTAAATGATCCAAATTTTCTGGTCACTTTTGCAAGCCGAAGCAGAAAAGTTCATTTTTCTACTGAATTTCTCCAAAATCTTGCAATAATTTCCACACTGGCATTATTGGGCCTAAAACCGATTTTTTGCTATACTTGTCTAACATTTGGAACCAAAAAACGTTCAGAAGGCGATTTTTTCACAGCACTTTTGTTGTCCAATTTTACTTAACAGCGAAAAGCTAATTAAATTTACAACATTCGTCTAAAGACCAGACACGAAGATATGAAGAAATAACGAAAAACGTTAGAGAGAAATTGGTGCCAGCCGATAATGTGAGATATCAAAGACGCGCATTGTTCACATTAAAAAGGCGAAAAGTGAAAGTGATGATGAATTTTTCAGTTGAAAAATGCAGGTAGTTGTAACTGTGTAACGTGAAAAATCACTTGGAAAAATGAGTTAAAAGTAGAAGAAGATATTAAAACTTATAAATGTAGATAGATAAAAAATTAGATTCTTCTATAAGTGTTGGTAAGTTCAAAGTTGCAGCGACTTTCAGTTTAAATCAACGAGTGATCGGAATCAGACAAAAAAGTTTATGAAAAAAGCGTCCTCTATAAGAGTGCAAAGGCGTAAAGTTCCGTCGGGTCCAGTTCAGAAGCTGCGATTTTTCAATTACGGACGCGCACTTTTAGGGCTTTATTTCTGACTTGCTAAAAGTTTCTAGAAAATCTAGAAAATTAACGAGTAATCTGAATAAGCTGTTGTTTCGCACATTTATTAAACAAAGCTTCATCTCCAAGTGTTTGAAACTTGAAAATTGTATAACTTCCTGTTTAAGAGCTGTGGTTTTTTACGTTTAGATGTGTACCGCTGCACAAGTTTTCTGATTACTGAAAGTTTGAAAGTTTCTAAAACATTTATAAGTTGTCGGAATAAACCGAAATTTTACACGTTGATGAACAAAGGCTTATTCTATAAGAGGGCCAAAACTTCAAATTCCGTACTTTCCCGTTCAGAAGCTGTGAATTTTTAAGTACGGAGGCGGACTTTTTGGGTTCATTTCTCGCTTGCTAAAAGTTTTCTAGTTCCTATAAATTCAACGAGTAATCTAAGCTAAGGTTTGGCACTTTCATTAGCCAAGGCTTTATCTGTAAGTGTTTGAAAGTTTAAAGTTTCGAAGTGTACCTTTGGACCACATTTCTGATTGCTGAAGGTCTCTAGAAAGTCAAGAAAATGTTCTGGAAAAAATTTCTGGAAAATCCATGCGCCGCCTGAATCAGCTGAAATTTCGCAGGCTTAGAAACAAAAGTTTCTTCTACAAGCATTCAAAAGTTGAATTTTTTTATCTTTTAGAAAATGTCGCCATTTTCTATAAGTCCAGTAGACATCGAAATCGACTGGAATTTCAAACAGTTGTGACCAAAGAACTCTTCTATAAGTCCTTAGAAGCTCACGATTCTACCGAGTTCACTTTAGAAGCTGCAAGTTTTTAACTAGGGACAAGCACTTTTGGGCAACGTTGCCGCAAAACTGATTGCTTCAAAGGTTCTAAAAAATTAGCGGGTTTGCCAGAACTAGCGGAAATTTCGCACACCAATCAACAAAGGCTTCTTGTTTAAGGGTGCAAAAGTGCAGAAATCAGGTAGATGCTAAAGGTCCCATTTAAATGAAAATAATACTTCACTCAAAATCTCAGTTTCAATGCATTTGCTGCAGGAAAAACCCAAAAAATAATAAGAAGAAAGTACTTACAAGGCGAATCATCTTTGATGTTGCTCTGTACCAATAAAGCACAACTTTAATGAATCTGCGGATTGCTTTTGGTATTTATAGAAAGACATTCCCCACCGTGATTGCACATCGGATTCATCAACGAAAGAAAGAAGGAAAAAACGCACATCTAGACAGTGTTTGGATGCAAATTCGCTTGATGCAAGAACGGATTATTCAGGTAGCGGCGCTCATCTCGGGAATGGCCAGTGGCGGTCTTAAACACACCTACTTACTACTTAGATGTTATCCGGTCAAATTGTTTCATTTAGTGGGTTGCGTCATGTAAATGTTAATGTAATTAGCTGAAATACGCACTATCTTCAGTAGGAAACGGACAATAGTAGCATAACCGTTCAGAAGAACTCAGTTGACCCATTTATTGGCCATAATTCTCATTAGGCGATTTCACATCAGTTCCTCAATAGGTTAGCGAGTCAGTTGTTAATCATTTAAGCAAAAAGTGGAGATTCAGCCCTGAGGGACCGTCGGTTACATCGATCAATCATAGAAACGTTGACTGTTACGCAACGTTCATCCACCATTGTGGTGATTTATTCTTGACCTGACCCACTGTCTTAGATTAAGCGTTTTAACACTGAATGCTGCATTGTCTGGTAGGTACAGTGAAGATAGTCATCGGGTTTTTTCCACAGAAATGCTCCGATGTTACTTAACTTAGGATTAGATTTTCCTGTTAAGCACATAGATTGAGATAGGATCAAACATGTATTCGCATGTAACAAACACAGAGAAAACGGGCCCTCATTCCGATACCTCCACTGATTGGCGAAGAAGTCGTCTTTAGAAGTGTATGATGTAAAAGTGAGAAAACGCGCAAAAACACTTCAAAGCTTAAAAATTCATCCTGATGGCACCAGTTTTCTTAATGGAACCAAATTTACACCACATTTAAACTGAAGCCTTTTGAATCGAGTCTAGTAACTCTCATTCGAACATCTCAACTGATTGCTCGGAAATCGTCTTTAGAAATCTAAGATGTAAAAATAAAAGAACCCGCAGAAACACTTCCATGTTTAAAAATTAATTTTGATGGTACCAGTGTCATGAATGGAACCAAAATTACGCAACAAGCAAATTGAAGCCTTTTTATCGAGTATTGCAACTCTCATTCCAATATATCAACTGATTGCGCAGAAATCGTCTTTAGAGGTGTACGATGAAAAAATAACAAACCACGAAAAAAATCTCCAAAGTTTAAAAATTAATTTATGATGGCACCAGTATCTTGAAGGGAACCAAATTTACACCACATTTAAACTGACGCCTTTTGAATCGAGTCTAGTAAGTCTCATTCGAATATCTCAACTGATGCTCGGAGATCGTCTTTAAAAATCTGAGATGAGAAAGTAAAAAAACCCGCAGTAACACTTCCATGTTTAAAAATTAATTTTGATGGTACCAGTGTCATCAATGGAA